AGGGCGGGCAGCGGGCCCCGCGCTGCAGCCGTGCTGGCACACAACACCAGCACGTGCACTTGCAGTTGGTAAGAGCTTGTTGCGTTGTAATTAGTGACCGTGCATCTTGCACCAGGGCCGATTACTTCTCCTAAATACATTGTGAAGCCCACGTTGACATTAATTACTGTGCCGGGTCAGCAGCAAGGGGAAGCTAAGGTCACCCCCCTCCTTTCTGTAATCAAGAGCGGTCTCAGCAAGCCCAGCAAATGAGAAGCCAATTGCTGTGCAATTGCACGCACTAAATTAAACAGACATGGGGAGGCCGGGAGAGGAGAGGGAGCTGGTTTGGGGAGAAGGGGAAGGATGCCAAGGATGGGTTCTGCATGGGGAAACAGAGCCGAGCAAGCGGGCGATGTTGGACAAGCCTGCTAGAAACGAGCGGCCGGTCAGGCATCAAACAAACCCAATTGAATAAAGCAAGTGCTGTAGAAAATGACAGCAGCAATGCTATTAATATAAATATTGATATTAATGTCAGAGAGTGCAGTAACCATTCGGCGGCCAGTCTATGTTCGCATGGGCTGCCACGCAGCGAGATGCTCTTTGCTGCACCAGGCTGGGCCAACGTCCGACCAAAGCATCTCTCTAGCCCTACAGCTGGGGCACGGGGACTTGTGCAGGGGAGCAAAACACTACAGACACAGACAGACAGACAGACAAATGGTACCATACCTCCATCTCCTTCAGCACAGGGTGGTCCTCTATCCCTGGGAAGAGAACTCGCATGGCATAGGTGCGGTAATCCAGAAAGGGGATGCCAGCCCCGTCCAGGTCGTTGGTCAGCTCGTTAATGTCAGTCTGCAGCTCAGCGAAGGCTGGGGTGGGAAAAGCAGAATTAAGAAACACATCCCGGAGTCCCAGCACCCAGCAATCGGCATCCAGCTTCCACCACCACCCCCCAGCACCCCATGGGTGGGACCCCCCAGGTGTGAACTGGCTCCGCATCTCCCTCCGCAGCAGGCTGTGATCGCTGTCCCCATCCCAGAGATGGAAAAACTGAGCTGTGGAGGGTGGTGATGACTTCCCCAGAATAAATCAAGTGGCAGACTTGAGAACAGGACCGCCGGGTCCCAGGAGGCTCAAATCCCCCCTGCTGAGCACTCACAGTCTCTCAGGGATGCTGGGGGCAGCAGGGAACAGCAAGTCTTGAACAAAGACAGAGCTTCTGGGGGAAAACATTAGCCTAAACCACGAGAATGTCCTCATTTCTTTTTGACCTAAATACTACTCGAGAGAAGAGCTTGAACACCCCCATCCCAGCACCTCTTGATCTGAGCAGAGGCAGCTGCAACTCCCAGGGGAACGTGATGCAGGGGGGTCCTGAACCTTTAATTGCACCTACAGGGAAAAGCTGACAGGAGAGGAGTCCCGGAGATGCACCAGGGAAAGGGGTTTGGGGAGGGGGGGGAACCCTCAGAAAAATCAAATTAACAGCACTTTAAAGGGAGCTGAAAGCCAGGCAGAGGACTGCAGGCTCGTCAGCCTGATGAGAAAAAACAAACCGTCAGCTTGAAAGGCGTGCTATCTTATCTGTAACTAGTGGGACTAGAAAAGAGAAAAGGCAGGGAAGAGATTGTGCCTTTTAATTAAAAGCAGATCCTTTTATCTGCCAGCTGTGGAAGACAAGACACCATCCCCTCCACCAGCTCCCTCCCCTCTCCCTGTCACCAGTGCCATCCGCAGGCGTCTGTAGGGATGGGGATTTGGGGGAGCAGAGGGTTTTTCTTTCTTCCTCCTTTTTATTATCTTGTTTTCGGTGCCTGTTCCATCCGCAGCACCCGGGCTGGCTGTCTCTGGCAGGGTTGGGTCCTCGGGAGCCAGTTCAGGGGGATAATGGGCAATTAGGTTTTATCAGCAGGATTATCCAAGGAATTCTGTCCAATTTCACAGCATCCGTCTGTCACATAACGAGAGACCGACTGCCTGCTCACAAACAGCCCTCGCTACCCTCCTTGCTCTCTTTTCTCCCGTTTGGGGAAAGAGAGGGGAATTCCTTAACTGGAAAAATCCCCAGATCCCACCCAAAATAAGTTTGCTTCCTCCGGCAAAGCAGCTTTTCCCATTCCTGTCCCCTCTCTGGAAGGCAGTGGGAAAGGCTGGGAGTACACAGAGCCTCAGGATGGTACGAGACCCTCCAAGATCCCCACATTAGTGGCACAGGGATCCCTCACCCTCTTTGCACTCCAGGGCTACCCGGGACTCCAGGTTGTCCATCTGCAGCTGGAGGCGTTTCAAGGTCCGGTCAGCGTCCCGGGACTTGCGCTTGTAGGCAATGAGGACAATGATGATGATGAGGAGGAGCAGACCACCCCCGCCGCCGATCCCGATGATGGCGGGCAGGGTGAGCAGGCTGTCGGAATAGATCTGCAGCGTCCCCGGGGAGAACTCGAACCCTCCAGCCTTGATCTGCACCACGGTGGGGGAAAAAAGAGGATGTGGCATCAGGGGCCATGTGCCCAGGGCAGCCCCGCCACCATGCCCACTGCTGGGAATGGGGGCATGACTCTCAGCCCAGGTAAAGAAGGATGTGGAACAGCGCAGGGATGGCAGGAGTTGGTCCGGAGCAGCATGGCACGCTTTAATGGGATGCAGGACACACACTGCCGGAGCGGGCAGAGAGTTTGATGTCTCATTCAGACAACATTACAGTAACAGATGTGATGTGAAGCGAGTTCCCCCACAGGTGGGGAGCCTGGGGGGGACCATGCCAAGTCCCTTTCAACCCAGCAGGGTCCCGGAGCATGAGCACCGCTGCGCTACAACCCCACAAACAAAGGCTCCTTCCTTATGGCATGAGCCAGCACCAGGGGGAAGCGGTGGGAACCCCCCAGCCCTGGCACAGGCTGCGCCTTGGCACCCAGCAGGGAAGGGAGGTTGTTGGCAGGACCATCCAGGGTGCAGGAACGCCCAGCTGAGTGTCCTGGGAAGGGTACAAAGTGTTTGGTCCTACCAAACATGTAATCAGGGAGAGCAATGCCTGGGGTGTAGGAAGAAGGTGCCTGAGGATGCTCCCGCACACACACTGACTGTCTGGTCCTCATCCAAGTATGAGCACACAGCAGGGCCGGTGCCAGGATCAAGACTGAACCTCTGTGACACATGGGACACGAGAAGCAAAGGTACCAGTGTTGGCATTTACCGTCACTTTGTGCTGGCCGGTGAGGTTGGGGGACTCGCAGAGGAGCTGGGTCTCGGAGACAGTCAGGGTACAGGGAGTGTCTCCGATCAGCACCGTGTAGTTCAGGCGGGAGTTACCAGCAGCTGGTGGGAGCAGGTTCCTGCCCTTTGAGGGAACAGGGAACAAGATTGTCAGTTCTCATGCAACAGGGAATTCTTAAAAAACTCAACATAAAGGGAATTTGTGCTCTCATGGTGCAGGACATTGCCCCAGGAGAGACAAAAAGCCACCTCCACGGAGTTGTTACCCCTCTGCCCCCAGCGCGCACCGCCTCACCTTGAGGATGAGGGGAGAGCTCGGCTTCAGCTCCAGCATCCC